CAGCCCGGCCTTTGCACCTGCCGGGGAGGGGGCGGCGCGGCGGAGGCCCCGGACGGCCCTCGGGCGGCGGTTGGCTGGCGGCGGGGCCATGCTAATGAGGCCGCCGCTTTAGGCCACCTGCCCGGCCGGCCGGCCACCCGGCCGACCCACCGCCCGCCATGCCGCGCTCCTTCCTGGTCAAGAAGCCCTCCGGCAGCCGCCTCCCCGACTACGGCCAGCTGGAGACGCGCCGCCAAGGTAAGCGACGCCCGGCCGGGCGCTCAGACCGCCTCCGCCGGTCCCCCCCTCGCCTGCCTTGGGTTCCAGACGGCCCCGCGCCCCTCGGACCGCGGAGGGGCGCGGGGCCGTCTGGAAGCCAAGGCCGGCGAGGGGGGGACCGGTGCCGGTGTTGCTGGCCCCGCTCCTCCTCCCGGCCAAGCGGGAGCGGCTGCTGCGAGCCGCCTTTCGGGGCGCCCCTTGCGGAGGCTCCCCGCGCCCGGCGAGCTGCGCGAGGCTGCGAGCCGCTGGAGTTGGCTCCGCTGCGCCTGCCCGTCCCGCCGGGCCGCCGGCTGCGCTCTCGGGGCTTGGAGGGGTCCCCAGCGGCGGCTCCCCCGAAGGCAGCGCCGCCCGGCCGCCCCGCACCGGAGCTCCTTCTCGGGGGCCGTTTCAGTCCCTGCCCCGGTGGGCAAGCCCGAAGCGCCTCCCTCCGAGGAGAAGCGACCGCAGGCGGGGGGTTTGTACCGGGAGTTCGAGGAACTGGGGAAGAGCGAGGCGGCGGCGGCGGGAAGCCGGCATCCTCCCCAGAGCGATCCAAAGTTCCCAATTAGCTTTAGGGAACTTCGGAAGTCGAGGCTGTTTCCCCTCTTAAACAAAAAGGGAGGATCGATTAATTAGGTAAATTAAGTGGTCTTACTACCCTTGGACCTGGTGGAAAATCTTCCCCAGCTAGATCACCTCTGCACATGCTCAGAGACAGCCTTCAGAATAACAGCCCGTGCCTTGTGGCACAGCCCACCGTGTCAGGACTGGTGATGCATGCAGGCTATGGCACCTGAGATTGTTTTGTGAGTCTTTTTCTAGGTTGTGTTCCATTGCAGTTGTCATTGGTGGGCTTTTAACTCCCACTCCACCTCAATCAGCCACCAATGTCTAAAATGGTCTTTTTCTGCTTTTCACTCTTTTATCATTTTCCTGTTGGATTTAGGCATGCGCTTTGTTTGTATTCTTAATTTATTCTACTTGTGTGTGTGTGTGTGTGTTAAAACTGGTGTCTGCCTGCAAAGAAACAAAATTGTTTTCCTGTTGTAATTTTCTTCTGATGGGTACCAAGCGCTCTTTAATTCAGCAGCAAGGGAATTCTGGAAAATTCAATGAAGCAGAACAAAAAAAAAAGCAGGCATTTTTAAAAATGTGATGCAGAGTTATGGGATTTGTGATCGCCAGGAGAGCTGGCGGTTCCGACTGAGAGAGTTTTCAAAGAGGAGAAGGAGGGTTACGGAGGGTCCAAGAAAGGCTAGGTTTGATCTCTGCTTATTGGGCTACATGCATGGAAGACGGCTGGAGCTCATGTGGGCTGCCTATCGGAAAGGCTGGCTGGCCGTCCTGTGACCCCTACCTACCCTGGTGAAGATGGACCCTGGGGCTCTTACCCCCTCCCCCTTTTGAATGTAAATGTTTCGAAGAGGTCAGGCTGTGTGGGATTTACCCTTCACTTTTCCGTACCCTGGAAAAGAATGCAAATTCAACTGGAATGTAGATTATTTTCCAATGTACCAGAGAGGGTGGGGTGGTGGTGGTGGCCTGGAGTTATTTAAAATATTCCAAGTGCTTTCTCTTTGGTGTAAGATCCTGTTTGATTTATAATAGTCATAAGAGGGACTTGAGAATATTGTGGCAGGAGACGCCACCTTGGCACATCCAAGCAAGGCTTCAACTGGGGGTATCCTCACATTTTAGATCCTTACTTTTTAAAAAAGGCAACTCTTTGACCTTCAGGCATGCATGTTTCATGTGGTGCTTTATTATTCACCTTTGTTTTTTCACTTACCTGCAAAAATGTTCATCTGAGGAAGCCATGAGGAGAGGTGTCTGTTCCAAGGGGAGAGCCCTGGAAATGGGCTTTTGAATTAAAAGTACCACCCTCCGCTAAGGCTGCAGGAACCGGGAACCGCAGCCTTTGCCTTTCCTTCTTAGGGACAAAGCCAGGCGTACAGGCGGCGATAGGTTAAGCTAGAAAACAGCTTGCTTAGAATAAAAGAAGCAGAAACATTTTTCCCAGGAGTAGAGTTTACGAGATATAAGGTGGTTAGCAAAAGTCTCCCAACTCCTGTTCAGCACCCTGGGCAGATGTTAGGATGGGCAGCCATTGACCTTGGCTAAGGCTTAAGCAGGATCAGACCTGACTGAGACTGTACTTAGATGGGAGAGCTATAATCTGTCTGGGGACATTACACTGCCTTCAGACGCTGCTGAGAGGCCAGAGCGTGTTTCTGAAATCGCAGGAGCCAAATGTGGCCTCCGTCTGCAAGCTGAGCAAGTTTCCATTTGCACGTTTTTGTGCAGAGGGCTAAGGAGAAGCGTCTGGAGGTGTCTCGAAGGGAAGGCAGGAATACCACTTTGGTCAACTTCTTTTGTGTTGTTTCCATCCCCAGAATGCAACAGGCCAAGTCACACCTGGATGACATGTTCCTTTTCTGTCCAGGATGCTACGCCGTGCCCATCCATACCCCGTGAAGCCAGCCCTCTGAGGAGCCACAGCTTTGCTCCTGCAAGCCTCCCCCCCCCTCTTTTGCAGAGCCGGGAGGCAAAAGGGCAACTCGCCTTGAACCCCCAAAGTGGGGAAAGGGCCGGAGGCAGCCGGGGGTCAGCCACCCCTCTTCGGGATAACCCCAACAACCTCAATCTCCCGCCAGCCTTCTCCCTGCTCCCCTGGAGGACGTGCCCCGGTCTGGGTCACCTGGCAGAGGCAGAAGGACACCAACTGCCAGCCGAGCCTGGTGTGAGGACTGACCCCCTGGAGAGGTTCACATGCCTGGATTGCCACAAGCCCTACAGCACTTTCTCCAGCCTGGCCCGGCACCAGCAGCAGCACTGCAAGCTGCAAGCCGCAGCAACAACCAGGTTCTTCAGCTGCAAATACTGCAACAAGGGGTACACCAGCTTGGGGGCTCTCAAGATGCACATCCGGACTCACACACTACCCTGCGTGTGCAAGATTTGTAGCAAAGCCTTTTCCCGGCCTTGGTTGCTACAGGGGCACATCCGGACACACACAGGTGAGGGGGAAATATCACAGGAAACAAGGGCAGAGGGCAAACGTGTATGTAAGGCTGTATGTGCACCATAGTTGTCTTCTAGGAACCTAGGATAGCCTAAAACATGGGTGTCAAACTTACCGCGTCACGTGATGTGTTGCGACATATCGCAACTTTTTTTGCATTGCCGGAGCTGGGGTAGGCACAGCCTCTGCATGATGCAATCAACCCACAGGCCGGCAGTTTGACACCCCTCTCCTAAAAGGTTGTTCTCTCTTTGCTGTGTTAGGCTTACAGTGCAGAGCAAATTCATCAAGAGAGTGGCCTATTCATCATCGGCCTGTTCTGCTTCTCCAGCTCAATAATTGACTGGATTCTTTGCCCTTCCCGGCAGGGCAGTCGGTGTCTATTCAGAAAAATCACCGGTTCTGCTAAATGGCATGAACCAAGTTTAAATCGTGGTTTTAAAAACAGATTCTAGGCTTGATCTTAGTGAGAGTGAAAATCTGGGTTATGCTTTTGCCTTTTTTTGGTGGGGGGGTTGAAACTGAATTGTGCCTGTGACTAAAATCTGTGGTCACCAGAAACCTGCTACCCCTATAGCGATGTCACAATCACTGGCTAAATGAAAGATTTCTAGATAAGGCACAAATGTCTGGCTTCTCTTATCAACCAGGAGATTTTATTTTGCTTTATGGAGTGTTCCCCAGTTTGCAGCATAGGGACCCGTCATTGAGTATGTGGGCCTCTTTTTGCAAAACGTTCCCTGTCTTTGTAGTATTCTTCAAAGAGTTATTCAGTGCATCCAAGTAGTTCTCAATTTACAACTATAATGGATCCTGCCCATCACAGCTGTAGGTCATAAAACAAGTCACCTAAGTGACCAATCCAACTTACAACCTTTTTTTGCAGTGGTCATTAGACAAATTTATGGTTCTCTTTGGGCCAGTTTTGCTGAAAACCAGAAATAAATCCCATTCATTTTTCTTGGCAGTGATATAGGACAGGGTTTGCACGGCTTTTCAATTTTTCAGTCTTGTCTGGAACTCTGTGATCTCCTGATAAGTGTTCCATCCAGATTCAAACCAGGTCTGATCCAGTTTAGCTCTACTCAGCTAACCAGGTGCTGCCATCCGTCTGATGGGCCCGTGCTGCCTTCATGGCATCCTGTGTCTTCCACGGCAGCTGCTTAGGAGCCAAAGCAGAAGAGAAGTAAGCTACAGTACTTGGGAGCTGCATTCATGGGAGCTTCTGTCTTTTAATCCACTGTGTTAGTCTGAAAAAGTGTCTCCTGACTACTTCTGATTTGGAGGTTGGCAGGGCCAGAGTTTCCACGCATCCCCTGCCCCTGTGTGCCCCATCTGGGCTCACCTGTCTGCCTTCCTTCCCAGGTGAAAAGCCCTATTCCTGCTCCCACTGCAGCCGAGCCTTTGCCGACCGCTCCAACCTCCGCGCCCACCTGCAGACTCACTCGGAGATCAAGAGGTATCAATGCTGCGCCTGCTCAAAGACCTTCTCCCGGATGTCGCTGCTTTTGCGGCACAAGGAGGCCGCATCCTGTGCCACGGCATCCTGAGGCTGGCAGAGAGAACATGGCTGTTCCTCAGCAGGAGAAGCTTTGGATGAGCAAAGACCTGCAATCTGGAGGCTGGTTGCATCCTGCAGCAGGAGTCGCTTCTCTGACTGTGCGTACCTTTGCTCCAAATAAAGCAGTAAAAGAGTTGTGTCCTCAGCTGATTTTAAATTCCTTCTGTGAATTATTCTCCTCGTGTAAATCTACCCGAACAGCACGTCTGGGTGCGACAGCATCTTCCGGGATCCAGGATGGTTCAATTGCTTGAGCACTAGAGTCCGTGTTCCCCAGCTGGCTTCCTTCCTAGCCCCAGGCTGGAGCTCAGAAACACAAATGCATTGTCTGCTTCGGTCTGCTAGTCTTGGCATTAAAAGATGCTTGTCTCCCATTTCTGGCCTGAGTTTATTATGGCTTTTCTGGATGCTGGGGGGAATGTCTCCCATCGTGACAGCGGGAGTGCACGGGAGGTCTACCTTGTTGTATGGAATGGCAAGATGGGGACCCTCTCTAACAAAGCCGGAGAAGGTGTTGCTTAGTAAGATCTTCTCTGCACAAGCCAAATCCACTCCAGGGAGAGGCAGCCCCTTCCCAGAATTCAGGGGGAATCCATGAGGGCCTTCCCAAGAGGTTAGAGGTTGAGTCTTCGTTGATTCTCCAGCAATCCTTCCCTCCTTTGCCCCTGTCTGTCTCTGAAGACGGGGTTAAGCTAAGGAAAAGGAGACTAGATGAGCGTTAACACCAAATTTCAGGAAACTTTGAAACAGATCCATTAATGTTTTGAATGACCCCAGTTGGGGTTTTAATTGAATGCATAGGTGGGGGCAGCAGAGTGGGAAGTTTGGAGCAGTTAGGATGAAAAAAGGATCTGGGTTGACTAAACTGCATGTGGATATTTGCTGGTCTTCTTAGATGAAGTTTGTTTTTCTTTGTTTTTTCCGCCCTAAATTTCTTGGAAGGATCTGTTTGGTCTCTGCTGAAGGCAAAAAATATTTATTTTATTCATTTCTGCCTGCCACTGTCTGCCTGCAGCGTATGTGTCCTGCTTCCCAGAGCATCCAAATTTGAACTGGTTTGATTGTTTTTGGATATGTGCTGTGATCTTTCTATCTCTGGCACATACCTGCATAATCAACGGTGTAAAAATAAAATAAGCAGGTGACATTTTGCAGCTTCTCCTTCTCTTCGTTTTCCTCTGAGCTGGTAGATTCTATGACTGGTGTCAGTTCTTACGCTCCTGGAGGGAATTTGCGTTCAAAGGGTCCCAGCTTGTGATTTCTCTGGTGCAGGAGTGAAGGGCACAGCAGAGGACCCCCCCACGTCCCCTGAGGTGATCCCCAGGTTATCATTTTTAACGTGACGAGAGGCAATTTTTTAAAAAAGATCTCACCAGCAATATTTAACATTTGCCATTTATTAGGCAAATAAAATGAAAGACCATGTTCATCGTGCAGCCAGGTTTTGGGGGTGTACCTTCCAATGGACTATTTCAAAGCCAAATGGGCCCCAAAATCTGGAGAAAAATTCTGCACAATTTCTGCTCCCCGTGGAAAAGCTTCAATGCAATTTGGAGTATGTTCTTTTTCCCTCACCCATGGCAGCGTTTTCCCCATTTTTGGCCCAGGAGAACATCTGGACCGTTCACATGCTTCTGTTGCTATCAAAGGGCTACCAAAGTGGGGGATGTTTGTACAACTTGTACACAGCAGTGAGGTCAGCCTGGCAGAGCGGGGAAGCAACAGGTATATTTATAGCCTTCCCCGTGGCCGGAGAGCATAAATAGGACTCAGAGATGCCTCAAGAAAGCTGCATTGTAAACTATGCGCTATTTTGAGCTGCAAAACTTCTAAAAGCGGCTCTTCCACCTGTCGTGGGGAGGGCCAGAGCAGGAAAGTATGTTGCTGCTTCTAAAATAAGCCAAATGTTTTTCCTTCTTACTTGCAGCAGATGGAAAGTGCTGATAAATATAGCAGCAGGGCAAAGGTGGGGGCTTGAGACCCCCACCTGCCGATCTGCCAGCAGAGAAGGGAATGTGAGTATCAGATGAATGAGTCCGTTTTTCCATCCTGCTTGGCCTGAAGCTGGGAATCACAGAAGGCACCATCTGGGCTCTTGTTTTGGTTCCTTCTTGGTCCACAAAAGCTGGCAGAGAAGAAAACTGGCTGACGCCCTTTTCTCAGATCAAGCAGTCACAGTAAAAAAAAAAGCTTGTTTGCATTTGGAGTGATTTCTGCTCAGCTCTCTCCCCAAAGTCTGTCTGCCTTACTGGGGCAAAGATGGCTGGGATTGTAGAAAGTCCTGGGTTCAAACTCCAGCTCTGCACAGCTACTAGGGCTCAGCTACTTAAATAATGTTTATAGCTTAGGGTTGAAGTGAAGGGGCCTGGGTGCTCTGTGAGCTTGGTGGTTTTCTTGCAGACGGTTCAATACCAAACTAGCAGCTTCATTCACATACTGTAGTGTAACATGTGAAGTTTATTACATTGTTGGGTGGTTTTGTTTTGATCAGGGTTGGTCTGATGTATAAATTCTCTCTTTTTGGTTGGACTATAATTCAGTGTATAGAGATTGACTGATTGCACGCCATCAAGTCTTTGTCAATTCTCAGTGAATGCGTAGATAGATTTTCTGCATGAGGATTTGTTCCCAATCTGGTTCTTTAGGTCTTCCAACAGTAGTTTATAGTATAAACAGTACTTGGAGTAAATATGGTAAGTATGCTGTACAAACTAATTGTTAATTGATGAAGACATAGATACAATCCCATTTCAATTCACAATAATAGGATAAAACAATGTAAGATTGCTTTCTGAAGCCCTAGGTTTTTTAAAAATAGGTTTCTCATCCAAGAAAAGGTATTTCTGCATTACAGGAGTGGATTTTTTGGTTAGGAATTGGATACAAACTCTCTTTCAGGGAGGAAGTGATAATGATATAAACATGCTTATTTTATTCTTTTATTTATTCAATTTCTATAGCCGTCCAACTCAAGCAAGTGACTTTTACTGTGTTTTGGTGTAAATGGACGGTCTTGGCCACATCAATACAGAACTTGAGTCCCTTTGGAAATTATTCTTCTCTAAAATCTTCCTGCTGTTCCCAAGAAGGCTGGTTGAAGGGGAAATGGAGGATCTGCACTCTGGGACGAGATAACAAGGCAGGCCCTGATATTATTGGGGAGTGCGGAACATGTCCCCCGTCTAAGAAAAGTGCAATGACCTTAATTTAAAGGGATCTGGGTGAGGACCAAGGTACATCGAGTGTAGCTTTGAAACAGGAGAGGAGGAGGGTTGGCTTATGGGTGCCGAGATCTTTCCAGCTCAAGTTTCTTTTTCCCATGACAAGTGGAAAAGCAGCCCTCCCTCTTAAATGCCAGCCCCCAGAAATAGCCCTGCCCGCCTCTGGCTGAGGAAGTCGCTCCGGCCCCGGGGCCAAGCAGAGCAGAAATAGTCCGGCTCTTTCTATCTATACCGGCTTGGCCGGCAGGGCGGACTATCTATAGCTGGCCGGGCGCCCCGCGTGGAAGCGAGCCCTGCCCCGCCTGGGTGATGCCCGCGCCGGGGATGCCAAGCAGGTGGAAAGACCGCGGGGGGGGGGGGGCGGAGAGCTGCCCTCTACTGTGAGGCTCCTGCTCCTCCACAGGTGGCTCCGCAGGCTGGCGCCTCGCGTGGGCGGGCCGGGACCCGGGATGCCCCACGCGGACCCCCTCGCGGGGGAGGAGGGAAAAACAGACGGGGGGAGCCTCGAGAAGGGAGGGAAGGGCACGGCTTCGTTGCCCGCTCGTCCCCGCGGGAAATGCCGCTCAGGGTCCCCTCTGGAAGAGCCCCGCGGAAGGAGGGGGTCACAAAAGCGGAATGTCCATGTGGAGATTCTTCGTCATCAGCTCGTGGTTGTCCGAAAGGTGCTTCTTCCAAAGGCAACTGGACTTTCTTGGTTTTTTGCCCTTGAAAATGATACTCACCCAAGAAGCTGCAGGTTGCAAGAACTGAAGAAGCTTCTTGGGTGAGAAGCAAAACGTTTTCAAGGAAAAACCAAGAAAGTCCAGTTGCCTTTTGGGGGAAAAAGCACCTTTGGGACAAAAAGCGGAAAGAAGGCAAAGTCCCAAAAGTGCTTTTCCCAAAAGGCAGTTGGACTTTCTGGTTTTCCCCTTGAAGACGTTTCGCTTCTCACCCAAGGAGCTTCTTCAGTTCTGACTGGACGGTGGGGAGTGGAAGAAGCAGCTTCTTGGATGGGAAGCGAAACGTTTTCAAGGAAAACCCAAGAAAGTCCAGTTGCCTTTTGGGGGGAAAAGCACTTTGGGACAACCGGGACCCGGAGGACGGAGGGTCCCCGTAGGCGAGGGGGGCAAAGGGAGCGGGGAGCGGGCGACGAGGTCCACCTGCTGCGCCTCGCCGCCCTGCAAAGGCGCTTCCAGCCGCTTTCGGAGCGCTGCCTCGGACTGGGAATTCGGCGGGTCCCCCAACAGCCCCCGCGTCGCCAGGCGAGCTCCCCGTCCCGCTGCGGGTCTCCGCCAGCCAGACGCCTGAGGAGCCCGCCCGCTGCCCCCCCCCGCCCCCCCAGGCTGCGCCGGAGGGGCGGAGGAAAGGAGCCCCGCCGGGGAGGACGCAACGGAGCATGCGCGCGCGGGGAACCTGCCTCTCGAGCCCCGGTGCCTCTCGGGAAGCCGCCCGAGTGGGAAACTCGTCCAGCTCCGAGGCAGCCGCGAAGGTTCCGGCTGCGATGAGGAGAGCCGGCGGTCCCATCGTCCGACGCGCTCCGATTGGCTGAGAGCGGCGACCGGAGGGGGTGGGGAGCGCACTGATTGGGTGGCGCGGCCCCAGCCGGAGCGGCGCGAGCCAATGGTGGGCGAGGGGCGTGTCGCTTGCTTCGGCGGAGGCACGTGTGGGGGAGGAGGCGGGGAGAGAGGCGGGCGCCGCTCCCAGTAAGGGCGGACTGGGCGGACTGGGAGGGGAGCGGGAGCGCTGGGCAGGCCGGTTTTGGGTCCTGCTGAGGAGCAGAGCGGCGGCCGGAGCAACCAGCGGGTGTCCCCTGCAGGCGCCGCACCATGAGTC